GACGTCACAATCTGAATTTCAAAACGTACAGACGCAAATAATTCATAAATAAGACGATCACATTCCGCCGGTAGAAATGGATCCTGCGCTTATAAGCAGAACACAGGACACAGTTTGTTAACAGACTACAGAGAGAAACACCTCTACAGTGGTGATTACTGTGTGTCTTTATTAGTGACGCAACTGAGGAAAGGACGTCTCATGTCTCTTAAAACATATTTCCTCGTTCCTCTCTCCTCGCATGGTTTCCTCCATGCATCCTTGGTGGGAGGGACTAAGACGCAAGAAAGGACCCAAGTGAGGGAAACGGGGATGCAATTAAGAGACTTGGGATGTACCCCCTGTCTCTCCTCTCCTTGTAATTACTTACTATTATCAGCTGATTGGGGGTGTGCACTTTTAACTAACCAACCAGATTCGTCCCACCGTTCCCTTCGGCCAATCAGATCGTTGCTGTCAAACTTTAAAGTGTTCTCCTCTCTGCTGCTGTCAGTTGTCATTTCAGCCTTAAGCAGATGCGACCCGCCTCCACCCCAGTCACCTCCAGTCAGCATCACAGCCATGATCCTGATCATCATCATGGCAACAACTCCTTTCACCACCACCACCAGTGTCTGGACTCCAGGGGGGATTAGGCCTATTGGACCTCAGTATCCCTACCCTCGGTGACAGTACTTCAGGATGGAGTCCAATCGCCAAAGACTTTGCACTTTTCATATTTGATGCATGTATAATAAATCATTGTTAAATTATAAAACAAGTCTCTCCTGATTGAAATATTATTACCACATAATAAAAGCGCATACAGAAGGATATTACAAAAAAAGAAGAACACAATTGGGGTTGGTTCAGCGCTTTTCTTTGGTCTGGGACCAAAACGAGATAAACACATAAAAAAAAAAGACCGCATGAACAAAACAATAAGAATACATACTGTATATTAGCGCTTACCTCTCGTTGTGTCTTGGAGGCAGCTTTTCAGATATGCATCTCTGAGATGCTGTCGAGTAGGTAATGTTTCAATGCCATGAACTACAGTAACTCAATTCTATCCACCTCATTGTATTGGGATGGCAGCAGCCATGCAAAAAGCAATATAAATAATATAAAGAACAAACATTTGTGAAAATGATCTCCAGTTAAACTTGTGATAGGTCACAATGCTCAACAATCTTCTCCTTGGCCCCTTAAAAAATGTAATGTCTACCTTTACTATACATGAAACTACATGCACAACCACACAATCCAAGCTTCCTGTCACTGCAGACCTCACAAATATATCAGCCAACTGCATCTTGACACCTTCTCAGCAACGAAGTGTGAAAGACACAGAGTGTAGAGTTTCGATGTGAGCAATCACTTTCAACCCCAGTACCAGCTGATCAGATCATCAAAAGCTTGGTACTCCTTGTGATTTTGTAAGTATCTACACGTTTTGCAGGCATGTTCTCTTCCGAACTGAGACTGTTTAACTTTAAAGATGCTTCTCCAGTTAAAGAATCGCATGTACTCAGCGTTATTTTGGTCAAAGTAAAGTAGCCGCTCTGCCAACTTCTGTGGAGAAGAAAAGTCATCGACATGAATGAAAGAATCAGGTGGGGCATGGTCCTCATAATTTTGTGTTGGAGGGCCCAGAACTACGGGTACACTTCCCCAAAGTAAAGGATTGTAGAACTTCTCTGTGATGTAGTCTTCGAAGATGGAGTTTTCAAAGGAGAGGTAGAATTTACAATGAGAAAGTATTTTTGGATAGTCTTCGTTGCTTAGATGATGACCAAAGGCTTGTCCATAAGTATGAATCTTGACGTATTTCTTCAGTTCATTGTAGTACTGGACCCTCTTTTGCTGCCCGGCCCAGTTGCTCACAATCCAACACACCAACTTGTCCTTTGCCGGCAATTTGAAACTCTTATCTTCAGATGTCACTGGCAGCAGATACCCATAAGGCACTTGAATATTTGAATCACGGCGATAGTTGCATGTCAAGTTGAATACTCGATTAAGACCAAGATTTCGAGGTGAGTTTGCGGGTGACTCCATATTTAACCACACCCATTTCTGAAAACTGGGACGTGGCATTTTGGGCAAGTTTTCTAAATTTCCATTTATGTCCCTGTGATGGAAGATAATCCCGTGGGCTTTTTGGTAAAGCGTCTTGTCATCTGTTAAGTAGCATCTTTTGATATCAAAAATGTTGCAGTCGAGCTCAAATCTGGAGCCAAATGGCCACATCCAGATCAGCACAATAGTGTCATTCTCAGCGTCCAGCTTTGTAACACTTTTGGGGTTTGGGTGATGGATCTGTGCTTTATCTCCACACAGAAACGCAGGACAAAACTGACTGTCTTTTCCAAAATCTAGGTACTTGATGTCAGGCCTGTACGTGATAAAAATGCCGATAAAGCACAACATCACCAGACTGCCGAAGAGAAACGGATGCAGAGAAGTCCACTGGCAGGCCGAGCGGGACATGGTTCACCTTTGGAGAGAGAATGGATCCATTGATTGGAGACAGGACATTTGAATAGACAATGCATTGAGTTGTCTGACTGTAAGCCAGTGATTTGCGATACAATAAGTTATGTAAACACAAGTTGTCATTACCGCTAGAATTTCCAAAACTCAAAACATGTAAAATCACAAAGTCACTGAAATTCTATTTAATTTTCTGGCATCGAACGAAACGTTAAATTATCAGTACATTTACGGAGGGAAGTACAAGTTTGATGTATTGTATTTCCCCATTGTAAAGCTTGTTCTACCTAAATACGCAAAATCTATCTCACAACACATGCGAAAGATTATCGTTCATCTGTTACATACTTTAAATCTAGCAGACTATAACTGAAAGTGACACGTCCCTGTTTTCAGAATTGGGTGT